GTGTCTGGCGTACATTATCATGTGTGTGCATCCTCTCCAAGTGGTTGTGCTTTTGTGTACTTTCCGGTACAGTACTGTATAGAGTACAGTAGTACAGTATCTTTATTTCTTGCCTGTTCACTAGATGCCAGGCCCTGTATGCCAGCTGTTGTACTGTACTACTGTACTTTTCAAGGTACTGTACTGTAAGATTAAAAATGTTGTTTATTTTTAGTGTTTGTTTGTTTTTTATGTATTATTTGTGAAAAGTATTATAAACCTATTACAGTACAGTACCATATGGCTGATTGTGTTAGCTGGGTACCTAGGCTAACTCTGCTGGGCTTAACAGACAAATTGGACTTACTAACATGCTCTCAGAACGGAACTCGTTCGTATGTAGGGGACTTACTGTACTGTGAGAGCTGGTTGTCTACAGGAGGCCAGACCAGAGCAGGGAAAGGAGTTCTGAGCAGTACTTTGTAACCCTCGATTTAGCCTCCATCCTCCAGGGATACGATATAGTCCTGTTAGTAAAGGTGGCGTGTTGTAGCAGTCAGAAAGAGATGCGAAGTTAGGAAGCTAAGACCTAGATGGGATGGAACTTTAAAGGGAAAATGACACAAAACAACAAAAACATCTGGGCCAAATTTCCCTGACAGTCATAGCTTTTTTTATTGCAAAACAAAATTATCTCCTACTGATTACTTAGTGCTTAGTAGGCCTGAGGTAAACAACACAGTAAACTAGTCCGACAACCTCATTTTAAAAATAAGAGTTGGAGCTTCCCTGGTGGCGCAGTGGTTGAGAGTCCGCCTGCCGATGCAGGGGACACTGGTTTGCGCCCCACTCCGGGAGGATCCCACATGCCCGTGAGCCATGGCCGCTGAGCCTGCGCGTCCGGAGCCTGTGCTCCGCAACGGGAGGCAACAGCAGTGAGAGGCCTGCGTACCACAAAAAAAAAATTAAAAAAATAAGAGTTGAAATCCAGTCTGAACAACCCGTGAGAAGAAACACAGCCAGGTGACAACTCAGAGACAGCCTGTGCCCATTTTTGAAGGTCCCCAAAGTCCTTGAGATGGCTACTAAGGTAATGTGATTATGGAGAGGAGGGTTGAGAACAGGAGGCATCTCAGCTCCTGAATTCTTCTGCTGGAGCCCTCAGGGCAGAGGCAGGTCTCATTTCCTTCCTAAACCACCTGGCATATGGTTATTCGCTCCTCTACAAAATGACACGCCCTGGAGACTCTCTGAACTCCAGGAGTCCTGGACCACAGCTGCCCTGTCACAAAAGTCACATCACAACACTCTCGCTTTAGCGTTCACCTCAGTTACAGGAACTTTCAACTGACCAAACGCTGGAGTGAGAAAGGTGACAATCAGGGAGCAATCAAATGACTTGCAGTCCCTTCTGTGCAGCAGTGGAGTGCCCTACGGGGCGGGTGCCAGCTGATACCAGCTCAGGAGAGACCCCTGTGCGCACCTCTTCCCAACACCACCTTCAGTGAGGTTAGCTTGGTACCTTAAAATCTGCCATGGCAGGAGTATTTACACTATGGGAAATGGAAAATGCTGCAAACGAGTTGTTCTGTTCTGTTTTTTGTTTTTTTTTTCTGAGAGCCAGTTATTAAACATTTACCAGCTTATCATTGGTAACTGGTGACCATGTTAGTGTGTCTGAGCTTTTGGTGCTCAAAAAGCAGAAACAGAACCTCCTAATTCTTTGGAGAAGAAACAGCACTGCGTCCTGCACAAATAGGTATTTATTGCTCTCTGAAAGGAATACTTAACATTTCCTACAGTGCTTCAAGTTTTCAGAGTTTCTAATTTGCCTTCTGGAAAAAAACATATCACTGTCAGCATGAACCCTGAATCTCATCCATTTTTGCATCCTCAAAGACTTGACTCCACAAATGTATCCCTCTCTCTTTTCTGGCATTCTTTCAACACATACCCATTCCCAAGTGTCACTCACGACTTCTTTTATTTTGTAAAAAGACTGTCTCGAGCTTCCCTGGTGGCTCAGTGGTTAAGAATCCGCCTGCCAATGCAGGGGACATGGGTTCGAACCCTGGTCCAGGAGGATCCCAAGTGCCACGGAGCAACTAAGCCTGTGCGCCGCAACTACTGAGCCCACGTGTCACAACTACTGAAGCCTGCGCCTCTAGAGCCCTGCTCTGCAACAAGAGAAGCCACTGCAATGAGAAGCCCGCGCACCGCAATGAAGCATAGCCCCCGCTCACCGCAACTAGAGAAAACCCATGCACAGCAACCAAGACCCAACGCAGCCAAAAATAAATTAATTAATTAATTAAATTTAAAAAAAAAAAGAAGAAGACTGTCTCTCAACTCTCCACTGCCCTTCCCTTCAGAGCCAAGCCTTTTCAAAGGTGCTTGAATCCTCCAGCTCCACCCGGACTTCCACCCACTTCTCCACACCCCACAGCACACCATTCTAAGGTCACACATGACAGAGGAACCAAATCAACTGGTACCTCAGCCCTTACTCTGACCCAGTGAAACTCCCTCCTCCATAACTACCTGGCAATCTGAGGCACCCTTCCCTGTGGTTTGCCTTCTACCTCTATGCCTGCTCCTTCTCTGTACACAGGGCTCCTTCTCCTGTCCTGAAATATCCATGTAAGTGCATAAGACCCACCCAACTGTCAACTACAGATTCCTCTCGGGAGTCAGGTAATATAGGCGTATAAAGGGTTTCAAATTTTTACTCTGTAAGACATAAATTGTTTGAATGTTCCATAAAAAATGAACTTATACAATTGTTTTTTAAGTTAAGTGACCCCAAAGTTTCATTCTGGTCTATAAAACACCACTCACAGTCCACTGTCAACATGGGCCCATGGGCATTAGCTGCCACCTGCATGCTGCCCTCTCTCAAATCTGCTCTAGTCCCGGTGACTCTAACAAGCTCCAGGTTTGAACACTCAAAAGTCTAAAAGTCATCTCCATCCGGATCTTCCCCACACACTGCAAACTCAACACTTCACCACACCTCTGCTGTACTCCCTCCAGCTCAGGGCAGGGACTATCAGCATGAAAACACAAATCAAAAGCCTGCGACTGGGCTTCCTTGGTGGTGCAGTGGTTGAGAGTCTGCCTGCCGATGCAGGGGACACGGGTTCGTGCCCCGGTCCAGGAAGATCCCACATGCCGCAGAGCAGCTGGGCCCGTGAGCCATGGCCACTGAGCCTGCACGTCTGGAGCCTGTGCTCCGCAATGGGAGAGGCCACAACAGTGAGAGGCCCGTGTACCGCAAAAAAACCCCAAAAACAAAGCCTGCGACCTCCTGGACTCTTCTTAAACCCTCCACCTAGTCAGTCATGCTGACTCTAGGTCCAAATTCCCCTCAAATCTAGTCCCTCTTCTATTTTTTTTTTTTTAGAAGATGTTGGGGGTAGGAGTTTATTAATTAATTTATTTATTTTTGCGTGTTGGGTCTTTGTTTCTGTGCGAGGGCTTTCTCTAGTTGTGGCAAGCGGGGTCCACTCTTCATCGCAGTGTGCGGGGCCTCTCACTATGGCGGCCTCTCATTGCAGAGCACAGGCTCCAGATGCGCAGGCTCAGTAGTTGTGGCTCACGGGCCCAGTTGCTCCGCGGCATGTGGGATCCTCCCGGACCAGGGCTCGAACCCGTGTCCCCTGCATTGGCAGGCAGATTCTCAACCACTGCGCCACCAGGGAAGCCCTCTAGTCCGTCTTCTTGATCCCCAAGCCACTTCTTTAACTCAGGCCCTAATTTCTCATTTATGTTGGGGCAAAAACCAAATTGGTCTCCCTGGGTGTAATCTCCCATCTCTTCCAATTTATCCCCCAAACCATAACCAGAAAAATATTATTAAAATACAAATTGAAACACATCATCCTTCCAACTAAGGCCCCTCCACAAATCCCTAGTCACCATTTCTACTTCCCCAACTGGTTATCATAGCACTGAAGATAAAATTGCAACAGAATTCAAAGCTGTTTGGGATCTTCTGCCACCAGTAGTTCTCATATTCCAGTCAGGCTAAACAACCTTAAGTTCCTGAGAAAGTTCCATTTTCACTGTTTACCAAAGGTCACCTTCGCTAAGGAGCCTTCTTGGAATGGCTCCTTCCTCCTGAAGGCTGGGCATGCATGGATGCCCGATGTTTTCCATGACAACTACCTCATCATGGTACTTACTACACTACTGTAATAGTCAACTTGTCAGTTTACTACAAGCTTCTGAAGACAAAATGTCTCACTTCTGTACCTGTACTGCCTGATACTTGGGGGAGGGCTGACTGAATAAATATTCATAAACCTCAGTCTTGAAAGGGACCTCAGAATTAATTCTGCTTCTTCCTCCATGCCTTTATCGAATGTCTGTTACCCTGGGTAACCCCCTTGCTAAATGAATGTCCAGCCTCTTGAACACCTCTTGTGATGGGGAAATCACTACCAAACACTGATGCCCAACAAGGCCTCCTGCTGCACATGAAGGCAGAGTTCACTACAAAGAGCTCATGGCTCACAGTCTGCTGACACCTCATCCAACAGGAAGTTCAAGGCCCTGCTGTGGCCATGGCTGGAAGCTGGCTTCCAGACTGTCACAGGTCTCAGAAACACCCGGCGAAAGGAACACTGGCAGGATGGCTGCTAGAAATGAGTCTGGGAAGAAGGGCCCTGTGCCCAGCAAAGAGGAGGCACGCAGGCCTAAGGTTGATGCCCACGAGACAACTGGCACCCAGAGTGGGCACCTTCAACCAAACGGAGAAGCTAAGTCTGCTCAGACTTAAATCCCAGCCAGGCACAATTTTATCAATGCTAAACATTTAACCTTTTGGAAAAGAACTCTTTAAAAACAATAAAGTTGGAAGACTTTCACAGAGTTAACACAGCTAGGATTTCTCCAAGCTCTGTCTGCCCTAGTTGTGCCTTCAACGTTTAGGCTCCAGAACTGCCACACTGCAAAAAGAGAAGTCTAACGGCACCATTTTGCCCTAATTTCAAGAGAGTCTAAGAGAACAGAGAAAATATGATTAGAATCAATGATTTTATTGAGGGAGATAAGTTACTCAAATGTCAACGGGCCGTAGGCAAAGGGAACAAACACGTTAGAAGTCTCAGGTGCAGTGGAAGAGGAGAGAGAGTACTAACAGCTCTGCCCAACCAACATTCTGGATCCAGGGCTTCCATACTTCTCCAAGGCTCGATTTCTCATGGGTCACTTTCCTTTCAAAGGATTCTGAAGACCAAATGCAACGGGATTCCTTCAACTACCACCCAAGAGTCTTTGGGTCTTCTCTCAGCCAAGGCATCCAATGAAAGTATGATCTATTTTTCAGATTCCTCTGGAGGATTAAAAAGTCTCTTTCGCATTGCATTGCCACGCTCCCTGCTCTTGTTCCTCTTTTCCACGTACTAGAAAATCGAAGGGGTCGGGGGAGGGGGGGGAGAAAAGAGACAATAGATTATGTCATCATTTACATACATTAAATATTTAGATATATTTGCAAAATAAAAATAACATTTTTACTGACAAAATTTCTACATGGCTCTTATTTCACTGAATCTGAGATTGGAAACAGTGACCTTAGAGACCATCTAGTAAAATTTCATTCAATACAGTACAGCACCTAACTCCTAATAGGTGCAGAAATATTTGCTGAGTTAATTTCCTCCCAAAATGTGAATTCAATAAATATTTAGGATGGATGAGTCCTGTCCCTGTTCTCCAGAAGCTCACAATCTAGCGTGTCATCTAACCTCTACCTGAACACTTCTTAATCAGGAGGCTCCCTACCCTGAGAGGCAGCCTGTTTGACTGTTGGAAACTTCTACTTGTTCCAGAGCTTCTCGTGTTGAACCAATAAGTGTTTCCCTGTAAATTCTCCTACTTCCCTCTATTTCTCCTTGCCTGCTACAATCTTCCAAATATCTGATTACAGGTAATCCACACACTATCTCTTTTACAGGCTGAACGCTGCTGGTTTCTACAACTGTTCCACAGAACATAGCTTCTGCCCTCTAAAGTCTTATCTGTAAAGTGCCTTTTATATAACACTTTAATATGAATAACCCCTTATAAAAAAAATACCAGAATTAAATACTCTAGTGCTCTAAACAAAGTCCGGCAGATATGGACTACAGTGGGCCTTCTAGTTCTTATGACCTAAACACACCGTATTTCTATAAATATTGCCAAAAGAGTAACTGGCTGTTAGTAACCATATTATCCTAATGGTTCATATGGAAACTTATAGTCAGCTGAACTTCCTAGGACTTTTTCATCATGAACAGTTATCAAACCCAATTCTCCCCAAATCTTATGTTTCTGTAATCGGTTGGATCTAAATGTAGTTTTCACCTTGGAGGATTTTAGCCTAGTATTCTGATCTGGCCAGCAGGTTATAACTAACAGGAAACCCAGAGCCTGGCACTGAGAAAAAGTACTTGTTTAAAGCAGAGAAACTTGAATATAAGTGGTTTCATACGTGTATATTTACATGCTTATAATATATACACCAATAAAGACATATTTTAAAGGTGCAAGAGGGGTTCTTAGGCAGAGTGGAAAAAAAAGGAAAGGAAATTCAAGTTGAAAAAACTGAGTATATGTGAATAATTGGACATCAAAATCTTTCAGCTGTCAGAGATATGGAAAGAAGCCACAGAAACAAAAGATTAGTGACAGAGCACTAACCAGGGACTCTGGCTGCCCTCCCATGAGTCCTGAGATTAACACCTTTGAGTTACTTCATCTTCTGGGCCAGTCAGCTCAGATGTAAAGAGTTGGGCTAGATAATCTTTAAGAAGTTTTCTAGGTCTAAAGTTTCGACTGAAGAGTTCTAACATATCTTCTGGAATAGTAGCAGTTTTCAAACATTTTTTTTTCCTCATCAAAGGGCCATTTCAAATAACAGATGAAACACCAGGTCCCTTTAACCAAAACATTCCTTTTATCCGTCATACATTAATTTTCTTCATAAGACTGTCAGGGGGGAGAGGGGAAGGGCGTTTCATTGCTTTAAAAGGTTAAAAAAAAAAAAAAAGTTGCAGAACATGGAGGGATACCTGCTCTGAGAAAAATATTTGATATCCCTCTTTAATCATATGAAGCCTCCAACAATCAAGTTCAAAGGAGGGTCTAATGGGTAAGTCTTCAGAAGACAATACTCTGTAGCAGGCCAATAAAATAAGTCATAAAGCAAATTAAAACAGAGTCTATATTAAAATACATGTTACAGTATCTCCAAAGGGAGTCAACATGGCCCCTGAATAAAAGAAGAAAAAAAAAGGATAACTATAATGTTATTCACAAAACGCCACCAAACAACGCAGATAGCAATGGAAGGTCAATTAGCCAAAAACCAAACCAAACAAAACAAGTAAGAGAGACAAAAGAGGATGCTGCAAAAGTAGTATTAGCGATTATTTCAATAAAAAGAACAAAAGCAGCAACAAAGCAGCAAAGAGAGCACCAGAAAGAACTGGCCGGACCTCTTTTCTAGTTAAAGCTTCAAAGAATGAAGTACTTAAATGACACATGAAGGAAATGGTAGGAGGAGAGCATTAGAAGCAGTAAATGGGAAACTGGGAAGCATTAAAAGCAGAGAGGAAATAAATGAGCACAGGTTCGGAGACCTGAATGATGAAAGAACAGACAGAAAAACATCTATAAATCAGGTAATGAAGCAATATTAAAAACTACATAGAGGACTTAGAAAGCAGTCAAGGAGAAAACCTGACATTTATACAAAAACAGACTCAGACAAAATAAGAAAAATATCTACACATTCTTCTACCAAATAGGAAAAAAAATTTTCATATGAGGATCTAGTCACCAAACCAATGGCAAAATCACTTAACTGTAAGGGCAAAAAAAAATCTAAACTTAGGAAAAAGCTATCTTATACAACTGAAAGCATGTAAAAAACAAACAGCTATACCAAATAAAACACTGGGTTTTATTTTTCCATAATCTTACTAAAACAGGAACACAGCCCTAGGTTTAGTTTCCATATAAACTACCATTTACATATGATGAAAAAACTCTTTTCAAAAATCAGTTTAAAACACTTATACCCATTTGTTCACACAAAGAAAATTATCAGAACTCCAGGAAGTTTTTCAAACGGGAAAGATGCTGTAAAGGGATTCCAGGAAGGGCAGGGTGGCGAGGGGAGAGCCCCAAAGTGGAAAACACAAAAAATGATTCATAGATGCTGAATGGCTTCAAATATCATATCTAATACCTTTCAATATGAGGCTCATAGGGGAAAAAACGTTCAAAAGTACAGAAAACGCAAATTGGAGGGCAGATTTTTAGTAGTTATATATTTTTAAAGGTTCTGGACCTAAAATATCTGATGAACAAAACAGAAATGGAATTAAATTTCTTTTCAAAGATTTAAAATGCACTCTGTTCAGTTTGCAGTACCTGCAAAAAGACAATAAACTTTGGCTGTTTGCCCAAGTCCAAGTCATAGCCTAAAACTCTATTCAGGAAACGAGTCTTTCCAAACAAGTCAAACTAGATCCTTACGGGTTGTACATACTATAATTATAAAGAAATTCAAAATTTTAAAGCTGGAAAGAGCCTAAGTCTAGCCTCCTCATGTTATACAAGGAAACTGAGGCCCAGAGAGTTTCAGTTACCTGCTATAGGTAAACACTGACTGACAAGTCTTTCTGCTGAACAGTTTCAATGTCCTAAACCTTAAAAATCCATCCAAAGGAGTTACAGTGACTATTATAAGATAGTTGTTTTCATTTACATACATGCAAAAAAAATCAGCAATGGCCCCAAACTGTCCCCAGAAGACACTTTCATTTCTCCTCTTGGTTTTAGGGGAAGACATACATATAAAGTCAATTTTTGGTGTTATACAAAAATTTGCAAAAAACTTAATACTGTTCCAAGATGTTCTTTTCTATTGTTCAACCATTTCCATCCTTTAACATTTTCCTTACCTCATTCTTCAAGCATTTTCTCATCTCCCGATCAAGATCATTGCAATGACCAAAAAATTTCAGAATGCTGTGCTAAAAGGAAGAAAAGGTGTAAAATATTTCATCCCATAATATGCTACAGTCTCTGGCACACAGAATTGAAACACTATTCCTACAGAAATGGGTTTAATGGGTCACCTTGTCAATAAGCAAACAGTTAATAGTTAAGCAAATAGTTAAGTCACAAGTATAAAATATACAAATAAACAGGCTTATTCTGGCATTCATACAAAAGAGGAATAAATGCTCTATAGGTAGAAATGAAAAATAAAAAGACTTTTCTTTGATAAAAGAGAAGACTATTAACCTGCCAAAACCTCATAATGACCAAGTGAAAAGCATTTTATTACCTAATACCCTTTCTTTAAGGGCATGTTATCCATCCTCTATTATAGAGTGATGTCAAAGGGCAGTGTAGCCATATTGACATGACCAGTAACTTCCTTCACCAGCAAACACTCCTGTCCCATAGAAGAGTTACTTATGGAAAGCTTGGGGCCAAAGTCATTCTCTCATTTGCCTCCATTCAAAATGTCATCAAAATAAATTAGAAACACATAACACTATTATTAGAGGGCCTGTAAGGGCCACATAACCAAGACAGTAATTCACAATATAAGAAAATCAATGTCTGAATTCAAAGTCTGCTTTGTTTGAAAAGCAAAACTAAAAATCTTCTAGTGGTTTCAAGTCCTGTGACTATTATCATGGCAAAAAGTATATATGCTCCAAAGCAGATAAAGACTGACATCAAGAACCTGAATTTTTAGTAGGGCCATAATTACTGTGTTTCCGTCACGATTTTTATGGGTAGGTCGGACAGCATGGTGATCTCCTATAATGACATGCCATAAATGCTGAACTTGTAACAATAAGCACATCTTTTCCTTTTCTTTCTAATTAAGGCTTTCATGGAAACCAGACAACACATAATTAGTAATAGTCATGCTACTTCTTTTTTCCCTGTTTCTTCACCACTTTAAATGTACTTTTCTGGTCCACATTGAATAAATGGTCAGAGTTTCTCTGGCAAGCATTTAAGATCTCCTACTGATTACCTAATAACCTTTTCAGGATAAATATTTCCTGTGTATAAACTACCTCCTTGACAACAAACAGGGACAATGCTTTTTCACACACCTTCTGGCCAAACAGAAATACCAGAAAGGGTTAAACTTTTAGAATGTAAGGCAATATTTCATAGTTTAGTTTATATTTATTCATATCATCCCATACACATACATCTTATTTTAAAAATTCAAGACAAAAACTAATTTATATTTTCACTTTCACCTCAACATTAGCCCAAATGAGAATTATACTCTTGTGACATTATGTGAAAAACAAACCCAAAACACCCCAGTGGAGTTGGTAAAAGAAATACCCATGGACTGCACTTCTCTTGTATACACGTGCATAAGCCTCCAGTGCCTGGTGTCTGTTTATAGAGAACAAACTGGTAGAGCAACTGACTGAATAAGTGAACCAATTAGTCAGTGTCTGGAAGACAGTGTCCCAGGCACTAGAGACACAACAGTGAGCAAGGTGGACCTGGGCCCTACTTTCATAGCTCAGAGTCAGGAAAGAGACAAATCATGAAGTGATTGCTATAAAGCAGCGGTTCTCAAAGTGTAGTCCCCAGGGCTACCCAAGACCTTTCCAGGGGAAGGTAAAATCTATCTTCCTAATAATTGAAGATCTTATTTGCTTTGCTCACTTTCATTCTCTCACAAGGGTACAGTGGATTTTTCCAGAGGCTACATGAAGTGTAATATCACCACAGATTGAGTGCAGAGACAGATATGAGAATCCAGCTGTATTCTATTAAAATAAACATTAAAGAGAAATGCAAAAGCAATGTCACTCTTCCCACCGTTTTTTTTGTTTTGGAAAATAAGGTCTTTTTTATGAAAAATAACTATTAACATGTAATGGGTTCATTATTATAATTTTTAAATAAATTAGTATTTTTCAATTTCTCAGTTTTAATTTCTAATTCACTAAATATTGGTAGATATAGTCCACATAAACAAAAGTTATTTGGGGTCCTCAATAACTTTTAAGAGTGTGCAGGAGTCCTGAGACCAAAAAGTTTAAGAGTAACTGCCATAACGTCGGAAATCTATTATGTACAGTATTACTGGAGTACAGAGAATCCAGGTCAGGAAAGAAAAGGAAGAGGAAATGACAAATTAAGCAGAATAAAGCCTGGAGGATGATAAAACCTGATCAAGCAAATGAGAAGTTGAGACAGTGAGGAAGGCTCTAAGTTAAGCATAGGAAAAAAGCAAGTACAAAGCCTTAGAAGACCAAAACATGCTCCAGTACAACTACAGACAAGAACACGCAGGAAGGATGAGGGGCGCAGGGGCGGGGGGGCATGTAGTCAAGCCCAAGAGTAAGTAGGGGCCAGTACATGAAGGCCTCGAAACACAAAGAAATTTTAGAGTTTATTCTACAAGCAAAGGGAGCCATTAAGAGGAACAGTGATTAAACTTACGTCTGAGAGAGCACTCCAAATAGAGCATGGAAAGTGAATTGGGACAGAAAAGAGGACAAAACAGTCATGGGACCAGGTGGCCCCAGTAAGATAATGCTGGAATCAACTGGTGTTAAGAACAGACATATAAATCAGTGGAACAGACTAGAGAGCCCAGAAGTAGACCCATTCACATATGGTCATCTGATTTTTGACAAAGGCACCAAGGTAATTTAGTGGGGAAAGAACAGTCTCTTCAACAAATGGTGCTGGAATAACTGGGTATCCACAGGGAGAGAAATAAACCTTGACTCATACCGCACACCATACACAAAAATTAACTTGAATCACAGACCTAAATTTTAAAAGTTAAAACTATAAAACTTCTAGAAGAAAAAATAGGAGAAAATCTTTGTGACCAGGAAATATACAAAGATCCTTAGAACACAAAAAAACATAAACAATAAAAGAAAAAACTGGTAAATTAGACTTCATCAAACTTACAAACGGCTCTTTGTAACACATCTTTAAGAAAATAAAAAAGGATGCCACAGACTGGGAGAAAATATTCACAATACACTTATGAGACACAGGACTTGCATGCCAAATGATAAAAAGAATTCTTACAACTCAATAACAAGACAAAACAACCCAATTTTAAAATACGGGCAAAAGACGTTATATGAACGGCCAATAAGCACATGAAAATATGCTTAAAGTCATCAGCCCTCAGGGAAACACAATTTAAAACCAAATAATATACTATGACACATCCATAGCATGGCTAAAGTTAAAAAGACTTACAATATCAATTCTTATTAGTTATCTATTTTATACATATTAGTGAATATATGTCAATCCCACAGTATCAATTCTTAATCTAGATGTATGGCAGAAATAGTTTACCGAAAAGCATATTGTCATCAACAACATTCTTTGAACCAGTATAAATACTTCACAGGTCATCGGCATT